CCCATAATTTGGTATTTCAACTTTCAGCACTTCATTTAAATAAACAATTCCATTCCATGAAATTGCATGTAAAAACCACTTTTGCTTCCCTAAAGAAACTTTCAATTGATTATTCTTTGCAAATGAGATGTGTGAACGTGAAGAACCTTTTCAAAGTTTAAAGAACCTCCATATAGTGTAAAAAATCCATATCAATTAATGGTGGAACCATATGTCCAAGACTAGCTTTATAGGAGTCTTTAGGCAAATTAAATTATGCAGGCAAATGCCCACATTAGCTCATAGAAGCATCACTGAAGGGAATTGTTGAATGAGTTTTGTATTGAGGAAGATACTGAATTCATAAGCAGACATTGATTAAGCTGCAAAAAATGTGAATATTTATCTGTGTTCAAGCCAGGAAATATTGTGGGCCATTTCTCAGACCCAGATTAAGCCTAAGCCTGGACTAAAAAGAATTTCTGAAGGTAATTCTCCATTGACACTGAAGTTTCAAGATTAGGCTTAATCCGTGTCTGGTAAACTTTCACTAGTTGTTCAGACAATGATCAGATATTTTTTTATCGAGCATTGTGATCCCACTTTGGGTATCAGTACCTAAAACGAAATTCTAGTTTCTTAGAAAGCCCCACTTCTTTGATGTTGGTCTGACCGGTCAGGGACCTTTGGCCTGGCACATTGTCGTTGTTGCAGGGTGTCATAATTAGGGTATAATTGGTAGGCACCAATGGAGAATAGCTCAACCGCCAGACAGAATTCTTCCTATAGTGCTCACCAGCCCAAGACATCTCTGATTCATGATGCAGATCTGAACCATGTGGTTCCTGAATCAGTTTCTTTGTCAGCGTCTCTCTTTTAAAGTTAGTTGTTCTTTATCTGCATCCTGGTGGACCTTGGCCCTGCACCTGCGTAAACTCAGGAAGGGCTTATTAATGACCTGAATCATTCATTCATTCAAGCATGTTAGAGTAGAAGAAAAGGCCAAAATATGCAGGATCAGGGTCAGGATCCACTGATCTAGGGCTGCCAGTCCCAGAGGGGGTTGGTACACTCTTGGAATTGATGCACTCCAAGGGTGCAGAAGTGCTAGAAAAAAGCTTGCAGCCTCCTTCCCCCTCCAGTCCCAAAGTGTACCCCATGAACTTGCTGAAGCCGGATCTCTGTATCCAAGCTATTGCTGCCCTCTCTCTGCACGCTGTGTGCGTAAACAAAGTCATGATCGACAGCAGTTTGCACTTGCCGACTAACTTTAGCTCCTGTGGCCACAGAGGGGTGGGGGCTTCCTTTCCCATAATGCATCTTTGCTGATCCACGCACACAGGCACGAACGGACATCTGACACAGCTGACCCCCTCAATCCCCACCCAGCCCACCCCTGTGCTCAGCCTTTTGCTTGTCAGGACAGGGCAGGCGGAGATCGGGACTTGTCTGGGAGGCAAACCCCCTGCGAGGGTCATGTTTCGCAGAGCTGGGAGCCACTGGATGTGGACTAGTTGAGTTTGCGAGGTGTGTTTTTATGTTTTGTGAAAGGAAGGCAGGAGCCTGAAGGCCTGGCACTGGTGCTGCAATGCTCCTGAGCTCCAGATGCCCTGCTAGCAGCTGCATTTCCGGGAGCCTCTCCATGCGCCAAGACCCAACGACCGGAAAGCCCTGGACAGGACCCTGCGAGTGAGAGTTTTTCGTGTGAGTGGGTGAGAGGGTGCTGTTTGTAGTGGACGACCTCGAGAGAGGAATTTGAAGGGAAATCAAGAAAAAGTGGGAGATAGGAAGACACTGGCCAGAGAGGGTGTCCTGCAAACCTGTAAACGGAAGTGACCATAGACACTGGGAGTAATCTTACTGATTTCATTTGTGGGTTTTGGTTTATCTCTCTGGACACCGCAACCATGATGATAAAGGAGGCCTCGCTCAGGGAAGACCCTGACCTGCGGGGGGAGCTGGCCTTTTTGGCCCAGAGGCTGCGATTTTGTCCTGCCGTCGCGATTCAAGAAGAGACTCAAGTCTTTCCAGCAAGCGCAGGTCAGTAGGCAGGGGCCTTGTTCAGTTCCGCAAAGGACCACTGCAGCTAACTCACGCATGCCAGGGAAGACAAACTATTCACAGGCAGATACCAACATGTCTATTAATAGTGCAGCTGGGGGTTGAGGGTGGCAAAGGTCTTCAGGAATACAGTGTCCAAGAGAATGTTGCATACAGAAGCTTTAGGCAGATAAGGGAGGGTGGGCAAGCCCCCAGCTACAGCTGTTGTGCTCAATACATACTGTACACCAACCTGAACCTGCACCAAACTCAGTGTAGGACTGCATCTTAATGACTGTATCTATAATCACTTAACCTTGGCCGATGAATTGACTAATCTCACCACTGTGCCTACTTTGATTCCTCTAACTTTGCTCTCTAAGTTTCATCTGTGTGACAAATGATTTATTCTTCTTTTATGGCTAACAAAACAGTAGAAGCCCTATTGCCCCCTACATTTCTAGTTAATTGTAATCTATCAGAATGATCACATGTATCATACAAACAAAAGAGACAACATTTGTAAGCGAACAGTGCATCAACAGTAAAATACAATCAGTGGCGGCACTTTGATGAGGCTTACCCACTTTTATCGTTGGCCCACACAGAAATTAACTTTCAAGATTAAAATCTTTTGAATAAATAATCAAGAAATTAGAAAACAATTAAAACGCATTCTAGAAATATGACATATTCAACATTTATTTTTTTACATTAAGCAGTCAAAATCTCACTTTAACCAATAACTACAACTGTACATGAGAGAGCGTCGCTCCTTCCTGAACCTCCAACAAACTCTCCAACACCCAGATGCAGTTTTAGCGTTGAATCTAGACACTAAATCTCATCACTTTGGTATACAAATTTGAGTTTTTGAGCTCTGGGTTTTATGCATTCTAATTGACTAGCTGAGTTTTAAGTGTTCTGAATGATGATGTTGAACACGCTTCGTTTTTTGTCACCTCTATCCCAAAATCAGCAGGAGTGAAAGTTTGACCCACAAAAGTCTCTAAATTGCAATCCTGAAGCTGCTGCGTGACATTTTCCATGATCAGTGTTGTCGGCTAATCATTAGCTCTACTCCAGCGCAGCCAATCCTGATGCAGTCAGAACTTGCTGGTCTTCCGGATTCCTGTTCCAGGGCAGACTGTACTCCTGATTCTTTCCTCAGGCTGAGATTAAACTCTTGCATTGTACAGAGTGTGATCTGTGCATCACACCTGCCTCTGGCATTTAACCTAGCAGACATTTAACCTTCAGTGGGTGTTGCAAGGGTCCTTTGAGAGAACTCATGGTGAGAGCAGACATCAGCTGTCACTGCCCCATGGTGTCCGGCGTGTAAATTAGACTGTATGCATGCCATGCTTTGAGACCAAAACAGCACACTGCACTTCCCCCCTCTTGGTTGCTGTCAGTGGCTTGGAGATGGAGAACATTGTTTGATTTGTTCTGCTGTCTATCCTGAATTCATTAGAAAAGGTTGCATACTTTAGCCTCAAGGTTGTTTACACTCTGGAGTACTATACCGGCATAGCAATAAAAATAATAGTTTAACAATTGTTGCACATGAGACTAAGTGTCAGAGATTTCCAGTGTCCTGTTAAGTAATTTTACTGAATGTCCCCAAGAAGGTTCCCAAGTGGTATTGGTTCCCTGTCTTGGGATAAGGATTCAGGTGGAGATACTCACTGATGGTTCCTTTCAGAGCCACGGTGGATAGATCCCACCTACACAAGGCAAAGGAAAGGCTGCTTTTACAACTGTGCTGGGTTATTTGCCAGCTCATGATAAAAGCCATAAGCATGCATAAAATATAATTTATCAGATGACAGTCTTGGTCCTTGAGGCCCACCAGGTGGACCACATTTTTTCTCCTTCCCGGCTCCCAGCACAAATGTACCAGCTGCTTTAAGTTCTTGATTTCCTGGCTCGGGTGTTTTAGCAACTGGAACCCACAGCTGTCCTGGGATCCCCTAGAATCGGATTGCTTATCGTTATCACATTATTGGCATTTACAATATTGATATTGTGGAAGGCTGAAATATACAGATATGCCCTCTAGCCAATCTCAGTGTTGTTGCTTTGTACTATGAGCTTTCTGATCAATCTTAGATATTCCAGATTCCAGCTTTTGTAGGCATTTTGAAGAGTCAAAGCATTCAAGTGATCCGCTCCACATCAATGTTTTAATACATTGCAAGATAAGACAATCACAATATGTAGCATTGTAGCAGTTTAGTTCTTGTGCTGCCCTGATTGTGATGTCTAACTGGTGAAATGGGTTCCTGGTATCTGGAGTAAGTGTGGAATGAAAGGATGTTGTGGATTGCTTGTTTTCACATTACGAAGAAAGCTGATGCCGCAGTGGCACTGATTATGGACCGGTATATGTTCTGGTGAAGCCGTTATTCAGAGACTCTGTAAAATCCATACAAAACCCACACTTGTTCTAAGTGTTCGTTATGGAAACAGTCCATGGTTTTGAACAGAATTGAGGAACAGGCACCTGTTGCTGATGGTTATTTGGAGCATTTCATTTTTTGCTGTAATCAGTAGATACTGAACGTGATACTGGAGCAACAATTGTTCGATAACTACTATGAATGATAATCTACAATGAATTGTTCAGGGTCTACTATGAGTTGTCAGTGTCAGTAACTACAATAAATTAAGTATCTACTATAAATTATTTGGTGAATAGCCAGACCCCGACTAAGACAAAGCTTGGCTAAAAACAACTTTCAATATTGTTTCACCATCAGCACTGCAATTTAGTCCCACAGGCCTGCCAACATTGACAAGATCATTGCCAAAATCAAGACAGCCTTCACCAAGTTCGTAGAGGAGAGGACCAGCATAAGCCAAGCCTTAATCCATGTCTAGAAAACCGTTTAAAAAATACTCTGAAAAGAGTTTATTGGGTTAAACAAGTTCTTAAGCTGTTTTTGGCTCATTCTCTCCATCTCTCTTTCTCTGTCCAGATCCAACCAGAGAAGAAACCCGGAAGTCCTCCTCCAGCACCAGCTCCAGCTCCGTCCACCCCGGTCCCCCGCTCCCCCTCCCCACCGCCAGCCAAAGTGGTGGTCACCCCTCCTCCTCCCTCCATAAACATTCCACGCTTCTACTTCCCAACAGGCCTTCCAAACTGCGCTGCCAACTATGACGAGATCATTGCCAAAATCGAGACAGCCTTCACTGAGTTCGAGGAGGAGAAGGCCGACATTTACGAGATGGGGAAGATTGCGAAGGTGCACATGGAGTGAATTACAGTGTTTTTTTTTTCTGGTGGTGATGAATCAGTGTCTCTAGCCTCGTGTCAACGGCTCTACATCTTTTGTTGATAATACTGATTTGTCCTCAAGTGCCCTAACACTATCATTTCAGCCCAGCTCTGAGGAAAATATAAGCAATATTGCCTCATATTTCATGGCAGTGTCCAACCTCAGCATGATCAGCAACAGTTTTATATCACTTGATATCCTTTACATTTGACAGGAGCATCTGAATGAGTTTCTTTGTTTAGCAAGAACAGATGCACAAGTAAATTTCTTGGTGTTGGTTGATCAGAAATAGATGTCACTCCAAAGTTAAATAATAGAGTCGATAGAAATATTGTGAATAGTATGTACAATTGCATTATAAATAGGATGTGCCTCGAATGGTATGTACAGTTGCATTATGAGTGTAAGTGGTACATGCATATTTATACATGCACTACTGTTTGAAGTTTGGAATCGCTTGTCATGTTAGTAATGGTTGTTATTTTATTCAATAACATCTTACGCTGATTGAAACACTCTAAGCTAGACACCAGCAGTTGTTTTAATATTTATTTCAATATTTTAGTATTTCATGGTAACATCAAGAAATTTACAGTAATTCCTTGATAAGTTCTCCAAGTTCAAGTTCAAAATTTGAGACATTCTGAATATTAATTCTATTCATTCTGGATGGCAGCTTTCTCAGTCATTTTAGAATCTCCTACTGCTCTGATCATCTAACATTATTTTATTTACAGTTTGCGACTAATTATCTGAAAGCTTTGAAATGTCATATTAGATCATTTTTTTTACATTTATTTCAACTATTTCGTTTTATATAATTGAAAACTTATTGCAAACTTTTAAAAGGTACTGTAGTTTTTCAAGAATAATTAATAATAGAGTAGATAGATGTGCCTTAAATGATATGTACAGTTACAATATAAAGATCAATTGGAAATGCACATTTAAATCCAATTAAGGATGTGCAGTTTTTCAGTAGATTTATTTTATAGGCAGTGCTGTTAAATGTGAAGGTCCAACAGGTCACAGATGCAGAAAAGCTTTTATAGGACGTTTATTAAGGCTGGGAGGAAAAAAGTAAAAAGTTAAAATTAGCGCTTAGGTCTTTAGGGCTGCTATATGAAGGAGGTCAAATATATGAAGTCCAGCCAAAGAAGTCATGCTGGTAGACACCAATGCAAATTTCTGTCAAGCTGAGTTTTATTGCAAAATATTTTTGCCACCAAAAGTCACACAAAGCCCTTGATTGCAGCAGTTTTCATCAAAATTACTGTGTTTTGCTTGTCAAGCTAGTGTGACTGAGCTTTTAGTCTTGTTTTAGCCTAGTCTACTAGAACTATCCTAGCTCACAACTGCAGTTCTAGTCCAAGCAAATGTAATGTGCTTTAGAATATGTACTGTAGTGGAATACATTGTTGAGATATTTGAGTAAATGCAGTGGTGATACTGTAGTTAAAGTGACTTAGACTGTTGTTTTTTTCAGGCATGCGGGTGTCCGCTGTACTGGAAGGCCCCCATGTTTAACTGTGCAGGAGGAGAGAGGACGGGCTTCGTCTCTGTCCACTCCTTTATTGCAACCTGGAGGAAGTGAGTGACCCCTGTTCTCAAACTTTATCACCCTACACATAACTCAGACACTCACCTTAGTTTGGTGAAAAATCTAATCTTTTTAAAATCTTCTATTAAATTACGAAATAAAAGTGAGTGTGGCTTAAAATTTAGAAGTGAGTGTGGAGTACTGGAAGTGGGTGTATGTACTGGCTGCAACGGAAGCAACAGCATTAATAAAATGCACACAGACAACCAATCTACAGTCTAGGTTTGGTACAGGCATGCTTATTGGCTCACCAACACTAATAAAATTGCAGACTTTGGTAATGAATAAAAGGGAATACTCGATAGTGTTGAAGTGATCGACACCATAAAAGTACTGAATTTCAATACCCAGCCCTAGTCCTCATGTAGACCAGAGATTCTTAACCCAGGACCTTAACTCAAGGGCTGCTGCTCCTGATCAGCTCTACCTTACCTGGCTTACAAAACATCAGGTGTGTTAGGATCTAGAACAGATCCAGTATGTGGAGTTGTGTTAGGCTACTCATTTGAGAATTTGTAGTTTAGACCATAGTTTCCCAATTCAGTCCTCAAGAACCCCCAGATGGTCCACATTTTTTATCTCTTCTAGATGCTAGCACACCTGGACCAGGAAGTAATCAAGAATCAAATACTTGGACCAGGTGTGCTGGGAGATGTGGACCATTTGGGGTTCCCTGGGCTGCACTGCAACAGTGGTCCTGGTGTTGCCCTGTCCCACATATTTTAGTGTGTCTAAGCTTCAGATCATCTAATTAACATGTTTACCTAAGCTGGGTCAGGTGTCAGGGAAAATGCAAATTTGTGCAGGGAAGTTCATTCTCAGAAAAAAACGTCACTGGGGTGATACTCTTCACGTCACTGGGGTGGTACCCCTCAATTCACTGGAATGGTGCCCCTCAACTCACTGGGATGTTAACCCTCGATTCACCGGAATGGTACCCCTCAATTCACTGGGGTGTTACTCTCAAGTCACTGGAGTGGTCCCACTCAGTTCACTGGGGTGATAACTCTTAGGTCACTTGGTAGGTACCTCTCAAATTACTGTAGCAGTATCCCTCAATTCACTGGAATCATACCCCACAATTCGCTGGGGTGCTCCTGCTCAGTTCACTGAGGTGATACCCCTTAGGTCACTAGGGTGGTACCTTTCATATTACTGGAGTGGTACCCCTCAATTCACTGGGATGCTGCTCCTCTAGTCACTGGGGTAGTACCCCTCAGATCACTGGGGTTGTACCCCTCAATTCACTGGAAAGGTGCACTTCTAGTCACTGGGGGAGTGCCCCTCAAATCACTAGGGTTGTACCCCTCAATTCACTGGAATGGTGCTCCTCTAGTCACTGGGGATGTATTCTTCAAATCACTGGGGTTGTACCCCTCAATTCACGTGAATGGTGCCGCTCAAATCACTGGGGTTGTACCCCTCAATTCACTGGAATGGTGCCCCTGAAATCACTGGGGTGGTACCCCTCAAATCAGTAGGGTGGGACTCTTCCACTCACTGGGGTGGTACTTCTCAATTCACTGGGATGGTGCCCCTCCAGTCACCTGAGTAGTACCACTCAGATCCCTGGGGTTGTACCCCTCAATTCACTGGGATGGTGCTCCTCTAGTCACTGGGGTAGTACCCCTCAAATCACTGGGGTTGTACCACTCGATTCACTAGAAAGGTACCCTTCTAGTCACTGGGGTGGTACCACTCAAATCACTAGGCTTGTACCCCTCAATTCACTGGAATGGTGCTCCTCTAGTCACTGGGGTTGTATCCTTCAAATCACTGGGGTGGTGCCCCTCAATTCATTTGAAGGGTGCCGCTCAAATCACTGGGGTTGTACCCCTCAATTCACTGGAATGGTGCCCTTCAAATCACTGGGGGGGTACCCCTCAAATCAGTAGGGTGGTACCCTTCTATTTACTGGGGTGGTGCCCCTCAAATCACTGGGGTGGTACCCCTCAAATCAGTAGGGTGGTACCCTTCTATTTACTGGGGTGGTACCCCTCAAATCACTGGGATGGCACCCTTCAAATCACTAGGCTGGTACCCTTCCAGTCACTGTAGTGGTATCCCTCGAATCACTGTGATGGCACCCCTCAAATCACTGGGGTGGTACCTCTCAAATCACTAGGGTTGTATTTTAGAGGGTACATGTTCATTGGGGATTGTCATGTCCCCTTTATACTGACCATGTTGTACAAATCTTTAGAACCACTAATTTAGATGATATTTTCATGTAGTTCAACATGACAGAACACTCTCTGACTCTTGGTTGGTTTTATATATAAATATATAATATACTGAAAGTCTGTATCTTCTGCTTCCTCCACAGGTTGTTACACAGCTGCTATGACGACGCATCCAAGTTTGTTTACTTGCTGGCCAAGCCGGGCTGTAATTACCTGGAACAGGAAGACTTCATCCCTCTGTTACAGGTCAGTTCTGCAAGTGTATGTGTGTGTTCACCCCTGGGCACCATGACTGTGTCTAAGTTTATGCTTTGTAATGCTGATAAGTAACGCTTTGTTTCTTTTTATCACTATTTAAATAAATTATATGTATAAAGCCCATTAAAAACAATTGTTGAACAAAATGACAAACGTATTTTCTTCACCTGAAGACCATTTCATTTTTACATGATCCAACCTATATGTTTTCCAACCTCTCTTTATCACTTAGGCTGCTTTTGTAGCTCAGCCCTTAAGACTGATATATGTAAATGAGCTCTGTTCTGATTAGCTGCCCTGTTTTGTGCCTCATTCCAAAAGCAGTCCGAGCAGAAACACTCCTTATTACTTCAGTGTAAATGGGCTGAGCTAAACTGCAATAGGCTGAATAGACAGATGTAGGTTAATTAGTTGGTGACACCAAAGAAACAATAAAAACAGGATTTTTTGCAACTTAGTTTCCATATTTCTGTACAATTTGAAAATGTACCATGTTTACATACTACATTTCAAAAAACTATATTTTTTTTATATTGACCTGAAAATTAACATATATAACATCAGCATACAAGGCAGGTATAAATACATATGGTTTATGACACTGTATGACCTACAGTTGTCAGTAAACATGGAATAAAGGAGGTCACATAGATAAACTCAGTGGTAGAATTAATAATAAGTTAATGCAAAGAAGATTGTATTCAGAATGTGTCATGTTTTAAAAGCACTCCTACAGATCACGGGTAGGATGTTCATCTGATTGTGGTGTGTTGTCTTTTTAGGACATCGTGGACACTCACCCAGGGCTGACGTTTTTAAAGGACGCTCCAGAATTCCATTCCCGCTACATCACCACCGTACGTGTCTTTAATAAGAATATGACGGCAGCGTAGTGGCAGACATCTACATCTCTCAGGATTACAGCAGCCATTTCATAGACACTGCACTGTTAATGGGGAACCATTAGAACCATTTACTGTTAATTATTCTGTATCTACTGTAAATTATTTCTTTATTTCACCAACTACCACATATTATTCAGTAATAACTATAAATTATTTGGTAATGACCTTGTATTATTCATGCTCCGCCCACAATTCTTTTCTTTTGTAGCTACTGTTGTAAAGGTGAACAAGAACTCATTCAACCCTACATTTAGAGCTAACATTAGCATGGTGGCTAATTCATCACATTCATTATCCAACCTGCCTAGTTTTGATTAACTACAATGGCACCATCCCACTTGGTACTGTAGCATTTTAAACTGGAATCTCAGTGTTGTATAGAGCCTCTACACACAGATGCAATTTCCCATTAGGCTGAATGAATAACCGACTCTAAATGTAGGTATTGTGATATAAACTGAGTCTGTTCTACAGTTTCTCATTAGGCTGAATGAATAACCGACTCTAAATGTAGGTATTGTGATATAAACTGAGTCTGTTCTACAGTTTCTCATTAGGCTGAATGAATAACCGACTCTAAATGTAGGTATTGTGATATAAACTGAGTCTGTTCTACAGTTTCTCATTAGGCTGAATGAATAACTGACTCTAAATGTAGGTATTGTGATATAAACTGAGTCTGTTCTACAGTTTCTCATTAGGCTGAATGAATAACCGACTCTAAATGTAGGTATTGTGATATAAACTCAGTTCTACACTTTCTCATGAGGTTGAATGGGATTTTTTCCAGAGTTCTTGTCTAACCTTACAACAGTAGTTTGTGGGCGGAGCCTGTAGATAAAAATTACTCCCGTCGAGTAGCGTATGAACTGTTTCACGTCTGTCTGTCTGTCTGTCTGTGGACAGCTGGAGCACGTGTATGTGTGTGGGGTGTTATGGGGGTTTGCAGCGTTAGTGAATCCTGACATCACGGAAAGACTGAAACAGCAGGTCGCCGCCCCCAGCCCCACACACGCCCATATTTAGCCACTTCCTGTTCCTCCAGCTGTCCCTTTGCTCCCCGGAGCCTGAAACTACCAGGAAACGTTCCATGGTCCTGAAACCGGAGCGCACTGCTATTGTCACTGAAGCCTCACTCTTTTAGACAGCTAACTATTCTCACTCACAGCAGCTCCACTGATACTGGAGTCGTGTATAGAGCTTTACACCGGACACCTTAACCCTGCTGAGATATCCTGTCCTTTAACTCCACCTAACCCAGGGGACACATTCCAACCTTTCCTTAACCCTTTAGAAGATTAACTACAGTGCTGTGCAGCACAGACAGAAACAAGTATAGCAGAAAATCACACAGAAGCCTCAGCAGCTAAATCTACTCTCAGCTGTGGTCAGTGAGTCTCTCTTTCCCTTTATTCCAGCTTCCATTCTTCTCAGGAGACTCACTTTCAGTTCCTCAAAGAATCTGCAGACACACCTCCAAAGTTCAGTCTTAGAAGCTGGTTGATCATTTTCTGAAGTAATCAAACACATTCAGTGGTGTTGAGGTCCGGACTCTGGGGTGGTCAGTCCATCGTGCAGCTTCTTTGTTTGATGTGTCCGTCTCCTTTTCTCAGTGAGGTTCTTCTTGATCAGCTACACATCCTTTCAGACCCACAGCGCTGAGTCGTCTTCTCACAGTGGAAGGATGGACAGAAACACCTGTGGATGTTTTCAGATCTGATCAGCTTGATTTTCTCCTCTCTCTCAGAGATGAAAGCTTTAAGTGCTGTTTATCTGATGGGGGTAGTTTTGGGGTTGACCAGCTCTTCCAGGTGGTTTTTAGGAGCCTCATTTTCTCTGCAGCTTTTTGTAGATAGTTTTTCACTTGTTTACTTTTTCTGATCTCCTCAAAAATCTCCTGAAAAGAAAATCATGTCTTAGTAGCTGTTTTGACTGGAAATTGGATAATTAAAGGATTGTCTCTTTGCACAGTACTGTATATAGATAACTCTGTTCTGAATTACATTTGTGTTCAGTATCAACAGGTTTGTGTCTTCACTTCTGTTTTTTTCTTTTTTTTATTTCATTTTTTCTTTCTAAAAAACAAGATTGTGGCATTTATAATGTGTTGTATGGCATACATAATAATGCCTTACAATACCCAACATTACACATAAGTAGGTATAGCTGCATGCATATCACTTTGTAAAGCTAAAGTATGGTGTATAGTTCTGTAATATATTGTAATATCTTTTCACAAGAATATTATAGACAATAATGTTGTAATGTAGCATTAATAACACACAATAGGCCTTTTTGTTGTTGTGTTATGGAACCTGACTTTATGAAGCCATGTACTCTTGCGTTGTTAGGTGTTATTTATGTATTTATGTAACTACTTTTCAACAATTATACAGGCTTGTGGTAGGCATTGTGAGGTGTTATATATATGATATAAATACATTTAGAATATAGGATTCAAATTAAGTGTTACTCAAATCATAAAAACACATATGCAATTTAAAGTCAGAAATAACTAATAAAAAGTTACAACATGATTTTGTTATCACCAGCAGTAAGTGCCATGCCTAAGAGTTAATGTGGATATTCCATATTAACACTATTGTTCAGTGTTTATTGACTTTTAATAGAGGAATCAGAGCTTAGGCTCATTGTATTTGGCTGGAAATATTTGCACTATAGGCACGTAGTAATTTGTTTTTAATCTGCTGAATTGTCTCTGTACGGAACATGTTCTGAACATCTTCTGTTTCCTTGTGTTGTAGGTGATCCAGCGGATATTCTACACAGTCAATCGCTCCTGGACAGGCAGGATCACCATGACTGAGCTCAGGAGAAGCAACTTCCTACAGGTACACACTTCATTCTCTGTGTTTATTACTGTAGAACAGTAGAAATTCATTTTCATTACTGAATCTCCAGAAATCTTGATCCAACATGAAGTTCATCTTACTAATGTATGACTGAAAAATGTATTTTCCAAAAGTTGTCTGGAATATTTTTGTTGCGTGTAGCAGGAAATCACTCCTAATAAAGACACTTGGAACTTTATTTTCAGTAAAAATCACTTCTGGGTGTTCCTACACCCTTAAAAAAGAAGGCTCTTCAAGGGTTCTTTGCTACGACAGTGGTTGTGTAGGGACCCATTAACACTAAAGAAACATTTGCATTCTCTGCATGGCGAAATGGTTCTTCAGGTTGATGGGGAAAAGAGTTCTTCTATTGCTACAAGTTTGACATTATAAGAAGCAGAACTATTTTTGGTGCTATTCAAAAAAGTTCTATATAGAACCATATACACATTCTCCATCAAACTGAATAAATTAGCATACAAACGTTTTAATTAATGTTTTATATTTTCTACTGTTTTCTATGTATTTTTATTATTAATGTTTCATTCTTTTATACTTACCTGATTCAAGTCATTTTTATTATTAAATTTACTTTTATTATTTAATGTTCTTACACATTATTAATCCATTTTTTCTGTATCAACTCGGCAACATTGTAAATGAGGGTTTGCCCTCAGTGTTCTCTGAGGTTACATAAAGGTTGATTGATTGATTGATTGATTGATTGATTGATTGATTGACTGATCAATTGATTGATTGAAGTAGTTCTTTGAGTGTTCACGGTTCTATATGTAACCACTGTAGTACTAAAGAATGTTTGAAGAACCATCTTTTTACAGTCTTTAGCTGACAGTACTTTGGGCAGGAATGGGACAGCAGTAGATGTAAGGTGTAAGGTTTGGTACTGTTGTGTAGGAATGATATATATTTTACCTGCTTGGGAACATGCCCGGGTTTGGGGTAGTAGCTCAAAACCAATAAATCAATACAAATGTAACGGGATTATTTTTACTGATTACTGTCTGGAAAAAGTAATCTTACTACTCATCACTTTACTTCTGAGATCCTCCCTAAAACCTGAACACATCTGTACCAGCTGTACAAACCCAGCAGTCCTTTCAGCACTTTATTTACAAACAAACAGCTGTTCACATATAAAAGACGTGAAAATGTAAATGAAATGTAAATGAAAATGTGAATGCATTATGAATACTAACACATTTAAAACCCCAGAGACTCATCAGTAGAAACTGTTGAAAAACAGCTGAAATAATCTGAGTGAATAAAGTGTAAATGTTACAGAGCTGTTTGAGATCTTACAGATAGTTTGCACTGATAAAAAAACATAAAGGAAATGTATTATTTACATGTTGCACATAACAAATACTATTCTCTTAGAGATGTATGAGTAATGCCAAATAACACAATTCTTGTTAAGTCAGTAACTGATGTGATTATAAGAGTTTAAACTGTAATGTGCTAAACTACTTCATTATAGGTAAAAGTAACTACATAACTGTAACACATTACTTTGTGCTACATTACCCCCAAAACTGGACATGCCTTAGAGTGCAATACAGTCTTAAAAATACAGATTCCTTACAGTTCTAGGAAAGAACTTTAATTGGAGTATAACGTTATGCATGTCACTTATAAACATGCATTTTCTGTGGCATCGCTCCAAAGAACTCCTTTTAGCACCTTTATTTTTAAGAGTGTAAGAAGAAGCTGTCAAGCAGCAGAGCACCAGAGAGCTGCAGATCTTTTTTATAAAGGGCGAGTGCAGAGATTTTTTGCCGGTACAGATCAAAAGGATTGCTAGCTAGCACAGCGGACTGACAGCTAGGGTCTTATTGTAGCTTAGCAACAGGGAGCATCCCAGCCAGAATGTGAACCACCAAGAAAAAAGTGCTGTGCACCTTATTTCTCACCTAAAACACAGTTTGAACCCTCACTTCAAATTGTTAGTTAGTGGTTTATCATGTCTATGGCTTTGTTCGCACAGCAGGTAAAAGTGGCCCAAATCTGATTTTCTCACCAAATCCATTTGTCTGGCTGTTCACAATATATTTTAAATGCGATCTGATGATCTGGATCATCAGTCTGAACAGATCAGCTCCTAAACTGAGCCGCATGCACAAAAGAACAATGCGTCACGCTGCTTCACGGCTCGTCCAGAGGTAAACAATCATGACCGCCAACGAACGCCAGTCGCTCCCGGAGGGTTCAGTTTCATCTTCACCAGCATCACAGGAGCCATCATGAAGCTTCACTAACTGACAGCTGGGCTCGTCACCCAGAATGTGTTGGAGCTCGGCGTAAAAAGGGCGCGGTCACTTCTTTGGTTCGCGTCCACGGATTCTTTAACCTTTGCTTTCAGACTTTTAACTGTTCTGACGCTGCAGCCTCGCTCTGCTACGTTCGGTCACTTCTTTCTAAATCTCTCCAATCATGGAGCATTTTGGATAAGTTTCTTCTAATTTTTTGGGCAGAAACATCAGCCTAACATCAGCCTGGATTGACGGAAAAGTTTCATAAATTCCGATCTGGCTGTTTAGACTGAGTCGCATTGCTGCATATCGGATACGGATCAGATTTCAGTACCACATATGAAAGCGTCTCAAATCAGAACTGAAAATGTCAGATTCAGTGTGTTTATCTGTTCACACTGACACACAGACACACATCTGTGTCACATATGAAGAAAAAAATCCACTTTTACCTGCTGTGTGAACGAAGCCAAAGGTACTAGCAAGACAAAAAACACCACAAAACATCACGTTTCTGCAACCTTGGCAAATGATTAGTTGTGCACTAATGTCTGTGCCTGTGTTATGAAGTCCATATGTAGGTATCCTTCAAATAACTGTTTATTTGCCGTGTATAACTTCCAGATACCTTGAGTTGTGGCAGAGTGGGTGAGGAATTCTTTTATGCTCTCTTTTTCCAGACTCTTGCCCTGCTGGAAGAGGAGGATGACATCAATCAGATCACAGACTACTTCTCCTATGAGCACTTTTACGTTATCTACTGTAAGTTCTGGGAGTTGGACACTGACCATGACCTCTTCATTGACCCCAAGGACCTGGCCAGGTACAACGACCATGGTAAGTGCTGTTATAGACAGGTGTGGTCACAAAAAAACTCCTTTTTTTGAGTGAGTTTCTATTGACGTTTGTTTTTCTCTCCCTGCAGCGTTGTCCAGCAGGGTCATCGAGAGGCTCTTCTCAGGAGCTGTGACCCGGTAAGACCACCGGAACGGAAATTAACTGATGTAAAATCAGTTTTGTGGTCTAGCCTAAAACACTGGGTGCACTGTGACTAGCTTACCTGATCATTTTAGTTAGACTGACCAAGCAAATACAAAGCAACATAATGAAAACCTATAGAGATTTCATGATACCACATTTTGGGGCTGGACAAGGTACAATACTTCTGTACTTATATTTGTATATATTTATACTTACATAAATTCACAAACAAGTCCAAAAGTCTTGTTTCTGAATGTACTTAAGTATCAAAAGTAAAGGTACCTTTGCTGGTAGATGGTTTCAGATGATCCAAGCTTGTCTTTCATGGTCTAGGTGGTTAAAAGGCTGGATATCCAGCTGGACTAGCTGGTTCACCAGCATAGTGTATGTTTTTGTTTGAGTTTGCTGGTTTAACTGGTCTGCCAGCATGACCAACTCGACCAAACTGATCATGATTTCATACAAGATTTTAAAAAGCTGTTGTTAGTCATTCCTTAGTGAGTATACAATATATACCTGCAGATCATGTAGACTCTGAGACTCTGGTTCTGGACTTGGCTGACTTTTAGTACTCTGTTTCAGGGGAAACTCTGTGCAGAGAGAAGGAAGGATGAGCTATGCTGAGTTTGTGTGGTTTCTCATCTCAGAAGAAGACAAGAAGAATCCCACGAGGTAACGACTATCTTGGGAAGAAGCCCATTAAACAGACGAGATTTGGTCTGTTTCTTTTACAAGCCCAGAGCATTCTGCTCAAGCTCTTAATCACTTCAGAAAAGATTCTGAATACTTGGGACATCAGTGAGTGCCTGCTAATGCACTTAGCACAAACAAGTAGCACTTATGGCTGGTAATAAGTCGTAATTGTTGTAATTTAATTGTAGTGTTGTAATGTTGTTAATTGATATGAATTATTTCAGACTTTTAACTCACTGAAACGAGTGGAGAAATTATGTGGAAAGTGCCCTCAAGTCACTGGAGCGGTACCGCTTAAATCACTTGGGTATTACCTTCAAATCACTAGGGTGTTACCTATAAGCCACTGTAGTGGTACCCTAATGTCACTGGAGGGGTACCCTTAAGTCATTGGGGTGGTATCTTGAAGTCGCTGGGGTGGTAGCATCAAGTCACTGGGGTGGTACCCTCAAGTCACTGGAGGGGTACCCTCAAGTCACTGGGGTGGTACCCCTCAAGTCACTGGGGTGGTACCCCTTAAGTCACTGGGGTGGTACCCTTTAAGTCACTGGAGTGGTACCATCAAGTCACCGGGGTGGAACCCCTTGTCACTGGGGTGGTACCCATCAAGTCACTGGGGTTGTACCCTTTAAATCTCTGGATCACATAATTTCTCCACTCGTTTCAGTGAGTTAAAAGTCTGAAAGTCACTAGGGTGGTACCATCAAGTCACTGTGGCACCCCTTAAGTCACTGGGGTGGTTTCCCTTAGGTCACTGGAATGATACCCATCATGTGTATGATATTTATGGTGTGTGTGTTTGTGTGTTGCACAGTGTGGAGTACTGGTTCCGCTGCATGGATCTAGACGGTGATGGGGTTCTCTCCATGTATGAGCTGGAGTTTTTTTATGAAGAGCAGTGCGAGCGGATGGAGGGAATGGGGATAGAGCCGCTGCCCTTCCAGGACCTGCTCTGTCAGATGCTGGACCTCGTCAAACCAGAGTGCCAAGGTCAGGCAGGTTGTGGTTCTCAACTAGGTCCTTTTCAGTAACCCCTCCATAAGAGACAAAATGCAGTGTTTTTTTATTAGAAATGTACCAGATTATTAAAAAACATTAAGTGAGGATATTAGAATACTTTTGGTTGTAACTACAGGCCAAAGGTATGGAGGCGACATTTGTGAAAATAACCATGACTTTTATGGACAGGTGTGTTACATTAGCAGTGGGTAAGGAAATAGAAACTGCTCAGGGTAGAGAACTGTTATCAATGCAGAGAGTAAAGAAGGCTTTTCTACTGCTTGTTTTATAGCACAGGATTAACTTAAATTATTTATGTTATGTTAATAAAGCAGTTGGTGTAGTGTAGTGGGTAGTGGTTGGTGTAGTGTAGTGGGTAGTGGTTGGTATAGTGTAGTGGGTAGTGGTTGGTATAGTGTAGTGGGTAACACCTCTGCCTTCTATGCTATAGACTGGGGCTCAATCCCCACCTGGGTAAGCAGTCTACACTATACCAATAAGAGACCTTGGGCAAGACTCCTAACACCTTCACCTACCTGCGTGAAATGATCAAATTGTAAGTCGCTCTGGATAAGAGCGTCTGCCAAATACCGTAAATGTAATTTGGGGTTATTTCCACTGCTTGTTTTATGACAGGGGATTAATATAACCTGGGGTTAATTCTACTGCACGTTTTAAAGCACAAGATTAATATAACCTGGGTTTATTTCTACTGCTTAGTTTATCACATGGGACTAATATAACCTAGGACTATTTCTATATTTTTAGATCACAGGATTAATATAACCTGAAGTTATTTCTAAAGATTGTTTTATAGTGCAGGATTAATAGGATTAATATAATCTGGGGTTATTACTATGGTTTGTTTTATAGAAGGTAGCAGTCTGTGAAATGCTTGGCACTGAGAACGGTGGTAAAGATTACATTACCTACCGCCTCAAGTAAAACCAACCCTGTCCAAATAGTACTTTAGTTAGCAAACATCGCCTAGCGTTGACATTAGCATTAGCTTTTGCTATAGTTCTAGAACTTGATTAAACCTAAGGACAGCCCAACACAGACAGTGTCCAGCTTAATGCTTTATGTCTAGTGCCCCCTGAAACTAAAACTACATCCTTCTCTACAGGTAAGATCACTCTGCGTGACCTGAAACGCTGCAGGATGGCTCACATATTCTTTGACACGTTCTTCAACCTGGAGAAGTACCTGGACCATGAGCAGAGAGATCCGTTTGCAGTGCAAAAGGTCAGACACACTCGTCTTCTACCACACTTAGAGTTCCCAAGGTGTTTCTGTGAAGCTGACAAGTTGCTAAGTTAAACTAGACCAATATTTACTAGCAGCTGATTGCTACAACCTGGATAACTAGCTACCTAGCTAACTCTTTACATTAACACACTGCATTTAACTCATTCCTAGACATTTTTACTTGTTTTTAAGCAGTTTCATCTTATGAAAGTGTCTTATTTCATTGACAGATCATGTTCCTTGTTTTAATCATTGTTTTTTTTAAATGAGCAGACTTATTTTCAGTATTTCTTGAAATAAGTAAACTAATCTGCCAATGGAATAAGACATTTTCACTAGATAAAATCACTTAAAACAAGTAAAAATGTACAGAAACAGGTGGAATAATCTTATAATATTCTCACAACAGACTCATAATGAGGAATATTAGATTTATTGACTACATTTAAGCTGGTTTAACTTGCTAAGATATTATTTTTTGCAGTGCATCTGTCTTTACTTCCAGCTGCACAATGCTGAAATTGTTTATCGATGCTGTTATAACTGTTTAATAAGATGAAGAATAAACACTAAATTGAACTCACTTTTGTATGTTTGTCTTTGTTTTGTTTCCACTACACACATAGAGCGAAATCTCACAAAAGAGTCTGTAAGGTTTTGTTTTAGGGCATGTTGGTAACAGTACAGGTATAATTTTCTAAGTCATGCTCAGTTATTTACACTGAAAATGGAATTAAAGAGTTCAGGTGCTCCATTTGCACCATTGTTCAGTTGTCTATGCATAGAAACATGACAGTATTTACAGATACCAATGGGCTGCTGAGCAACAATGAATAAATCAACTTACAGAGACCAAGTTGACCCCACTATTTCATCTTTTATGCATTTTTATGTTATGTTTCTTTATCTGTGTGTAAATTCTCTGTTATTTTGTTTATTTGAACAGTTGCTGCCTGTATAACATCAGGCTTAGATACTACAGCTGAACATTAGCCAGTTAGTTGACACTTCCACATTTACCTTTGTGTGTGTTAATGTTCATTGTCCCTGATATAGGAAAGTAAAATATGAGATGCAAAGTGCCTTTACAGGTACTTCATGGACCATCACTAAACTGAAGAGTCACTCTGTGTTTATTTGTTGCAGGATTTGGATGGAGATGGTCCTGAACCCTCAGACTGGGATAAATACGCAGCAGAAGAGTACGAGATCCTGGTGGCTGAAGAAACAGCCAGCGAGCAGCTACAGGAGGGGTCAGTATTGGTCTACACTGTTCATCAACAATTTGTGGTCTCCTGGCTTTTAAAATGTTTTTAATACAGATGATGTTTTATTGTCAGTTTGCCATTATTGACCTTATTAAAGCCTAATCAGGTTTATTTAGAGGAAAAGAATATCACACATTTATGTCTATATTAGTGACAGTGCTAATTTGGAAATAAAGCCAAAGGCCACGCCCACTTCCTCCCCTTGTTGTGGTGTCACTCATCAGCACTTTTTTGGCGTTTGCGGACCAAAGGAGATTCAATATGAGCTTTTAGTTCCAACAGTTTGGAAAAGAAAACGGACACATTATTATTCATGAACCTGCTGTTCACACCAAGAAGATACTTTGATGAACGTAGTGTATGACAAACTAAACATTTACAGGGACGTTTATTACTGAATTGCTACCAACATTACATTAAAATCAGGCAGTGAAAATGTTTATTTATACTTGTATAAGCCGTGTTGATATATTACATTATTCATTAAGTACCATCATTGTAACTATATTCATCTGTGTAAGGAAAAATGCAGCAAGACAATTTATAATATAATCATTACCAATTAAATTTGTATTATTTATTATATAAGTGTTCTTAATAATTAATAATACAGCCCTGTTTCCAAAAAAGTTAGGATGCTGTGCAAAATGTAAATAAAAACAGAATGAAATGATGTGCAAATCATTTGAAATATATTTCATTTAAAATAGTACAAAGACAAAATGTCAAATGTAAAAAAACAAGAAATTTGATTGTTTTTTGAAAAATATATGCACATTTTGAATTTGATGCCATATGCGCTAATTGAACTGTGCGCTGATAACAAGCTGGGTGGTCCTTCTCCTCTTTAGCCCGGAGGACGCAGTGTCCATGATTTTCTAAAAAGAATTTCAAATTTTTATCTGTTGGGCAGCAGGTCCCTTTTCCATTTTGCCTCAGTCCGTCTTAAATGAGCTCAGGCCCAGAGAAGGTGGCAGCATTTCTGGATCCTGTTTATATTTGGTTTCTTCTTTGCGTTTTAGAGTTTTAACTTGCATTTGTGGATGCAGTGATGAACTGTTTTCACAGACAGTGGTTTTCAGAAGTGTTTCTGAGCCCATGCAGTGATTTCCACTACAGAATCATGTCTGTTTTTAATGCAGTGCTGTCTGAGAGCCCAAAGATCACGGCCAGCAAATACTGGTTTTTGGCCTTGTCCCTTACATACAGAGATTTCTCCAGATTCTCTGAGTCTTTTAATGATATTATGTACCGTAGATGATGAAAAGCAGAAGTTCTTTGCTGTTTTATGTTGAGAAACATTATTCTTGGATTGTCGCACTATTTGATGGTGCAGTCTTTCACAGAGTGGTGAACCCTCCTCATCTTTACTTCTGAAAGACTCCGCCTCTCTGAGATGCTCTTTTATACCCAATCATGTTACTAAACTGTTGTCAGTTTACCTAATTAGCTGTGGGATGTTCCACCAAGTGTTTTTTTAGCATTACACAATTTTCAAAAAACAATCAAATTTCTCTCTTTCAAAATTTGATATGTTTTCTTTGTACTATTTTCAATTAAATATTGGGTTTAACTGATTTTCACATCATTGTATTCTGTTTTTATTTACATTTTGCATAGCGTCCCAGCTTTTTTGGAAATGGGGGTTGTACATTTTTTTGCTTTTATAAAAATAGATTTAACTAAAAAAAGGCTGATTACAGTAGTATTAGTAAAAGTATTACCATAACAAAAAATATAATATATAATGTTGTTATGGATCATTATTTTTGTATGTTTTAATATTGTAGAGTATTCTTATATATTGTAGGTGTTCTGAAGTGCATGTTTTCTGTTGCAGGTCTTTTGATGATGATTATGAGTCTGAGGAGCTTTCGCTCCCTTCGGAGATCGGAAATAAAATGGACAAACTGGTGATTTCTGACCTTTCAGCGTGATCGTCCATCAGAAACACTCACCAACCTCAAAAAAAAGGAACTACACTTTTTTTCTACAGTTAAAAAAACGGACGTTTTGTGCGTTTGAGTGTGTAATTATAAAAAGCTTCTCGGGCTCCCACCAAGGCTTCATGTGCAATATGTCTTAACTGTAATCACTCGTTTCTCTCTCTCTCTCACTGACGGAGATTTGTCCTTCCCTCCCTGTAAAAAACAAACTGCCGGCTGGTTCCATCCACCCTTTTTAAAGAAGACTCTGAGACGAAATAGAGGCGGACTCTTTAGGACACTTTAGAATGTGTTTTAGTGTGAGTGAAATGATGTTGCTGCAGGTTTATTTTCATGTTATTGTTGTACCCAGTGCCGGTCCTTCCTATATGCAAAACAGTAGATTTGCATAGCCCCTCCCCACTGCACATAATACCATTGTGACTTTTAATGTTATTTATTATTTAGCTATGCTTGTTATAGGCCCTACATTCAAGATGACAGACATGCTTATATACCAAAATGGTGACTGTCAAAGTGCAATATCAGTATTACTATTATTATTATTATTATTATTATATTTTTCCCATCTTCCATGTGGAGCTAGCGCTAGCTTAAAGCTGAAAGCTATGCATTATTAGCATTCGAGTGCAAAGAAAAGGAAAAAATAAGCATCCTGATAGTGAGGTAAGAAAACAAGATGCAAAAAAAAGGTAATAAAATTGTTGTATATTCAGTGAAATAATGACTGGAGTAGAAATAAAATTAAAAGTCTAGTCTCAGGTCCAAACACTTTGGGGCCATGTGTATAAATGTGTGTAAAATCCCCACTAAAATGATGCATTTGTTTGTACAGACATTTTTGCCAGATATATGAAAAAGAAAGAAATTTCTTATTCATTCTCAAACACCTCTAACTGCACTCATAGTAAAGTTATGATTTGCATTAGCTGCGGAAAATGCATGGATTTTATCATGACATGCTCTTCACTGTTACTGGAGTCATTAGCAGACTTTAACAGACATTAACAGACTATTTAAAAAGGCACGTTTCTTATTCTGCAGTACCACTGCTTTCCACTAGTTGTCAGTAATTCCCATTCTCCCCCAAAATTCGAATACAGCACCTCCAGAGTGTCCAGTTTCTCATGCCAAGACTCACTTTTCATAAATATCGATATTAACGTGCTGAGTTCTTGTATAGAACTGAAGTTTTCCAGACTTAAACAGTTTGAAATGGATTCAAATGGAACTGATGAAAAAGTAGATTCACTTCCTCAGTAATATAGTAGAAGTAAAAGTATTACCATTTGAAAATACTCAGGAAAGTTCAAGTCCATCAAAATGTTACTGAACTAAATGGAGCTCATTACTGCACCTCTGATTATCACTCTAATTAAGGGAGGGGGGCAGTAAAGGTGAATTAATATTACTATAGTAGAGGGTGTGTGCATATGGGCCACGTGAACCTTGGGCCCAAGAAAGGCTCGGACCGGCACTGGTTTTGTTCCACATGCAACTATTATCGAGATGTTAACCCCCTTTATAGATCGAGGTATTAGTTTAGGCCACTAAGAGCTTTATGGAGAAAAAAAAGCGACATCAAATAAAGTGTAGTGAACATTATGTATTCAGTGTTGCACATTGACATTGAGGAGAGCACATCAGTGCTGAAACACCATCGGTGATGTATTGCAGCTCCTAGTGGTAACTAGAGGTATTGCATGTTGAAACTTGAGCGGATTGTACCCAAGTGCTCGGTAGTGACTTGCTAGGCTTATATTTATTTATTTTTTTTAATTGACGACATACATCAAAGTTTAAACTTCACTAAACATTTCCATATTCACATGTACCCTTATGTGGAAGACACAAACAGGACAATCTTAAATGTTTAGAAGATGCTGTTCCTTCCTCAGCCATATTTCTTCTAAACGTAGACTGTGCTCCAACGTAAAACAGAGAACTGTTCTAGGTAAAGCTAAATAGAGACTGAGAAAAGTTACTCTAGTGTGTTGAGAATGTTTAAGAAGACTGATGTTCACTTGTAATCCTGTATAAAGGTGTGAATAGTGAGTGGTGAAGGTGTTATTTATTCGCTTTGCTCTCAGTGTGGGAGAGGTTTCACCTGAGGTTCACGCCTCAGTCTGTCCTTTGATCCTTAAAGGAAAAGTTTAGTGAAAAATCCACTTTACACAATTTCCCCTCACCCTAAATTTCTATGAAAATGGGCAAAAGTATGTCCCATAGCTAAAAACTGTAGCGGCAGTCATCTTGAAGCCTGAATTTTGTCTATAGTTCGTCCATCTTAGATAGATGGACATACAGCGTCCCATAAAACACGTAATCAAGACTTTGAGAGTTCACTAAACAGCTCCACACGGTTTGTGATGATTTAGGAATGCAGTTAGCACCCTGCTAATTAGCATGCTAATAAGCTTCATTTGGATTTATGGGGAAAATTGTGTAGATTCGATTTTTCGCCAGACTTACCACTTGAACAGCTTCAAACAGGTCAAGGTTTGCTGGCTGCGGGATCTTCAAGACGTCCAAACAAACCATTAGGTTCATCACAGATCCACTGGTGTGTTTCACTGGAGCTGCTGTTCTTAAGCTAAATTGTGACTGTGGTAACATCTATGCACCAGGTGGGGGTGCTTTGCTGCCCCTTTCGCCTATAAACAAGGGGCTCGTCCCAAAGAACCCTCTACAAAAGACCCAACAGACCCAAACACGTCGCCACAGCTGCAAGCCTGCCCACATTCTCCACTGCTCTTTGTTTTGTCAGTTCCTTATTTGAGCGTCCAGTTAACACTGCGGTCGTTGTTGAAGCTCCAAAAGGTTCAGCAAAGTTTGCTTTTTTACATAATGGAGAAAATTCAGGCTACAATATGGCTGCTTCTGTACTATAGTCCCTGTCATACAGTGTCGATTTGGGAGAACTGTGTGATGAATAAGGCATGCAGCTTGCTAATGATGCTAATTAGCATGCTAATGAGATTTTAGCACTTGTTAGCTACACAGAATTGTAGCTCCAGTGCCAAAACTAAAGAATCAAACGTGAGACACCAAACGTGTCTAGGTTATCGACCACATTTGGTGAGGGAAAACTGGGTGATCTGTGGCTTTAAAGTGTTTGTGTTTGTTGGGCCTTCTCCCTCACACCGTCCAGCCTCGTCCACCGCTGAAGTTTTTTGACTGTACATCTTTATGGTTTATGTAATTAGTGTAATATATTTATATATGTGAAGTGTTTTTGTCCAGTAGCGCTGTGTTTTGTAGCCCAGCTGTTTCTGACCCTTTCTATAGCAACTGTAAAGTGTCTTTGTATTTTATTTTATTTTTTTTTTCCCAAGTGTTCGGCTCTGCCACTGAGTGGCGGGGGGGAGTTTTAAATTATAATCTATAATCTATAACTGCCAGTGTTATAGTGATGTGTGTTATAGAGCTGAGGTGATGAAGGAATTCTGTACGAATTCACTGTAAGACGACAATCAACTGGATGAGTTTTTATGACACCAGAGCAATAAACCTGCTGTAGTGTTTTTATCTAAACTATTGGACATTAAGCTAAACAAACACGCTTAAACTTGAGATTAACAGCCTCTAACCTGGTCACTTCTGTCATTAACACATTAAAGTCTATGCAAATCCAATCCTCTGTACAGAGATTGGCAGCTGCAGGAGCTGTTAAACATCAGACAACCTGTTAGTGTGCAACTGTGAGTTTTATATCATATATATATGTATTTCCATATGTATTTTCTCTGATATGATGTATGTCTTGCTTGCAGAAGATAAAAGAACTTGAGGAGACAGCCGTCTCTCCCGCTCTGATGAGATGCCTCATGTGTTCGCATGACTTTTCTTTATTTTTCTTTTGAGAATCTCTGAAAATAAATAAAAACGTTAAAAGCTGTTCATTTATACCCAACTTTTCCTGCAGTGCACCGCTGTGTTTGTGTCTCTTCATGCATTCATAATAATGACTAGAAGGGGAACGTTTGTGGACAAACTTGCTAGACAGTCCCAGTTAATAATGCCTTAAACTTTCGTTTATTTCTTTTTTGGTCAAAAAGGCTATTAAGTTATTAAAAAAAGCAGAAAACATATTTAATATTTAAAAATTACACAGACGTCTCAACAACTGAATATAATTTACTGTGTCCACTCTCTCCCTTTATTCCAGCTTCCATTCTGTTCAGGAGACTCACTTTCAGCTCCTCAAAGAATCTGCAGACACACCTTCAAAGTTCAGTCTTAGAAGCTGGTTGATGATTTTCTGAAGTAATCAAACACATTCAGTGGTGTTGAGGTCTGGACTCTGGGGTGGTCAGTCCATCGTTCAGCTTCTTTGTTTGATGTGTCCGTCTCCTTTTCTCAGTGAGGTTCTTCTTGATCAGCTACACATCCTTTCAGACCCACAGCGCTGAGTCGTCTTCTCACAGTGGAAGGATGGACAGAAACACCTGTGGATGTTTTCAGATCTGATCAGCTTGATTTTCTCCTCTCTCTCAGAGATGAAAGCTTTAAGTGCTGTTTATCTGATGGGGGCAGTTTTGGGGTCCACTAGGTTTTCCTCTCTGAACTGCGTTTTAGGAGCTTCATGAAATGGGTTTCCATGGCTGAGCAGCTGCACACAAGCCTGAGAACAAAATGCACAATGCCAAGTGTCGGCTGGAGTGGTGTAAAGTGCCGCCACTGGACTCTGGAGCAGTGGAAACGTATTCTGTGGAGTGACCAATCAGCTTCTCTGTCTGTCAGTCTGATGGACGAGTCTGGGTTTGGTGAATGCCAGGAGAACGTTACCTGCTTGACTGCTTCGAAAATCCTCAGGCTGAATCTCAGACAGCTCACTGCTCCCAATATAGTCACTATGCGAGTTATGAACTTTAGTCTTTTCCACCCAAACATTAGTCTTTGTCCAGTGTTTATTGTCTCTCATGGCTGAATCCAGAGTGGTTCTCTGTGAGACTCTGAGCTCTGTTTAGATCAGTAGCCGATAGGTCAAGGCCTGTGTGCTGCTCTTTGTAGGGAGAAGGAGCCGCTTGAGATTCTGCTGTGCCAC